TATTGATCCTATACAATGGCTTGCGACGACAATGTGTGGCAATAATCGATAAAGTTTCTCCGAAATAATTCGTTGATTCGGTAGAGGTTATTCAAAAGAATAGAAGAGTATTTTTGCAACACTTGTAATGTTTCCAAATTATCTAAGAAATAAAATATTATTATTTGTTTAACAAAAACTTGAGTCAAAAATAACTTTATAAATAATGATTCCCCGATCGGTTATATACGAAGTACTAAGGCTACAAAGAAACACGAAAAACTAATATACTTATATATAGTTCCAAGATAGTTCGTCTCAAAAATACGTACGGCGGAGGTTTGGAAAGTAATGGTCCGTTACGGCATACCTTTCATGTTCGGAATCGTTTACTCCTTCGGAAGTCGATTTAAATCATACCTTGAGAATCCCAGAAAACCGAACTCCCAGATTGGCCGAACTCTTTTCGCCCACTATTGCGACTATTCCTTTGGTCTGCTTCAACGACGAACAGAAATGTCCTTAGCCTGATTATTTAATGTCATGTCATGTGAGACAGTCGTCATTTTAAGTTAATATTGTGTCAGCTGTCTCAGTTTTGACTGAGTTAAAGAAATTAAATAAACAACTTTGTTCCCAGTTGGATTGCCATGTGCTTATTTGTGGCTTAGCAGGTGCGGTGAATTGGATTCCTGCAAGTGTTTACGAGGTTCAATTGCAGTTAAAGAAACTTGCAGCGATAGCTTCCGCAATGCACAACATTGTTAACATAAAATGGATTCAATATCAACACAGACGTCTAATGACTCTTTGTCAAATTCACTTCCTCTGCCATAAAAATAATTATATTCATAAGTAAATATATAATATGATATTCTCCTTGCCATTTCTTTACCATAAAATTGGTGTTAAAAACAAATATCTCTAAAGAAATACACCACGACAGCTTGATCACTTTGTGATTTTTTATTCACTTAATTCTAAAAACAAAAATCAATTTTTTTCTGGCTTCCTGTCCTTCTCACTAGCGAATACACTAAAATTGTTTTTACAGGAAATTAATGAAATATTTGCCTGCATCCGACATTCAGTGCTTAAAAGCATTAGAAACAGTTAAGTTTTACTAACAACAAACTAACTGCCGGAATATACATAAAGGAATGTTCTTAGAAAGTTTTTAAATGCTTACCACAATGCATATGGATTTTCACAACAACACACGGTTAGCTAACTAAGAAAAAGCTAAAATAGAAAATATCCAATTGCTTTAACTGGAAAATTTTCGGAATGTTCATATACCAACAACTTCAACTTGAACATTGACAATGACAAAGTAATCTCCGGCGCCGCTGTGCTGAGCAATCACCGGCAACCAAGGCCAAGTGGGGAACACCCACGCACACTCATATACACATACAAAGCAATGTTCGCAGTATTTAGTACTAAGGGAGATGATGTTGCTCACTTTTGCCTCCTGCAATTGTAATATGGTTAAATGGTTGAAGTTCGTGGTATTATTTTTTATGTTTTAAGATTCTTTTGTCTATCCTGATCGATGATTTTGATACAGGGTTTTTAGATAAATTTATCAAACATTAAGCGCGCGCTTTTATTTGAATTTTTTGATGGTTGCCATAAATATTTATCTAAATTATGTACAATACAATACATACTTTTTGATTATTTAAAGGTTCTATCTGATGGTTTTTGAGATGCAAAACAATATTTTTTACTGCGTTAGGAATTACTTATTTATACCCTTAACAGGTGATATCAAATTTGCCACGAAGTTTGTAACATCCAGAAGGATACGATGGAGACCCTGAGTTGATTTAGCCGTGTCCATCTATCCGTCTGCCTGTGTTTACGCGAACTAGGCCCTCAGTTTTTAAGTTATAGATATAAAATGTTGCACACGTTTATTTCTCCCCAAGAAGTTGCGCATTTGCTCGAACAGCCGATATCAGACCACTGTAGCATATAGCTGCGATACAAACTGAACGAACAAAATCAAGTCTTTGAATGAAAAATTTCTTTATTTAACGAGATATTTTCACGAAAAACATGACGCATAGATTATTAACCAAAGTAGTATAAAATATCGTTTACACACGAACTTAGACCATCTTTATTTGCTTTAATATAACTTGCAGTATCACATCAATAACGCTCCAAAAGTTACCTTCCAACAGTTCAATAATACGTTTTTATCAACATACGACTGATGCCAACATATTTCTTGATATGAAAAAGTCGCGAATGATCGAAGGTTTTGGAATTGAAGGTTACGTTGTCTCCGTCTTCTAATTAATCAGCACCCAAGCATGTAAATTACTTCTTCAAATTTGCCGTTATGAAAATGTATTTTAGAAATAATAATCCACGAGTTTTAAACAATTTTAAGGTCTTAACCCTATTATGTTTTTTTGAGAATTGCCATAGGTTCAAAAAACCAGTAATATCAAAATGCTGCATATTGTACTACAAGTATATAACTTAATACAATGCTTGTTAATTTTTGTTTTTTCTATAAAGAGAAGACTAAGTCTTCTATATCTTTATTTAATTAACTTTATTTCTATATTTATTGAATTTATTAAAAGAGAAGACTATGTCTTCTATGTCTATTTATTCTGAATTATAATATTTCCGGAAGGCTATGTCTTCTTATTCGGACTGTAAATTATTCAGGGGCGTTGTGGAATCCAAGACAGATCAGCTGTTCCTCTTGCTTTGTTTCTGATAACAAAACCGATAAAATTGGTTTCCGTGACACCCAAAACCTATACACTTTCTGTTTCGAACGTCAAACCAATAATATCTGAATCCATGACACCTACTACATTTTTTTATGGGTTTCAATTCTGATTCCGACAACTATCAGATTCTACAACACCTCTGACTAATTGAATTTTTACTTAATATAATATTATAACTATCGAACAGCAATCATCACATTGAATGCAACGTGAGCCATTTGAAGTGAATTTAATGCACTTTAAGTAAATATTGTGAGAAAGGTAAATTATTAAATTTGGAACAAATGGAAATGTGTCAGAAATTGAAATGCGACAGAGGATATTGAACTTTATTAAAATAAATATGTTAATTATTAACTTATATTATTGTAAACGTCGGCTAAAGCATATGTGTGCCCTTCAATAATCAGTCATTGAATTGAATTCAAATCTAGTTCCAGACATTTGATGGATATCGTTTTCTATATTTTCCTTTGCATTTTTGCCTGGAATACTTTGTATTTTTAACATCTTGAAACCAGCTTCGGTTGTTTCACTTTGGATTAACTATTTCGAAAAAACTTCGATCCTGAAATTTATTAATAAAGGGAAAAAATTGCACGCTTTTGTCACGACATGAAATTTGGGAGAGTCTTTCCTGTAAAGTCAAGAGATTTGTGAATTTTTGTGGTCTTTCTGTAGGTCAGAACCTGTTCACGGATTATGCGGACTATCGACAGACGGTTAAAGCTTTTAGCTCTCCGTTTAATTACCTGCTGCGGTAACTCAGTAGCGTAGTCGGTATGATTAATTATCAAATGCAACCAGAAACAGTTTACAGACAGGAATTCTCAAAAAATTATAAAAGATATGCTGAGTACCTCCCTTAGTGCTTGAGAATATATTTCTCCAAATATTGAGTGTTGCAGAAATGAAATCGCTATGAAGAATAACAGTTTGAGCTTGAATTTTCTCTCTTTAGAACTCCTATACCTTATATATTCTATGTTCTTCTACTTACCAGACCCTTTCCTCTATAAATTGAAAATACGCAGCGAATATAACATTTTCTATTATGTCATTGACAAATAAATTTATTTAGTTTGTATTTCAGTATTTTTCTGTTGCACTCTTTTGCAGAATTTTTTTAGTTTTTGTGTGTTTGTTTTTAGTTTAGAGTTTGTTTCGTAAATCATACCAGAACTCACTTAATTTTCACATAATACATACTTTTCAGTTTTCTTGTTTTCTTTTTGTGTTTTAAATTTCACTTTTACTTAATGTATTTATTTGAATCATGCTTTGCAGTTATTCACATTCAAATTAAATTGTTGATTGTAAGAAATGAACTTGCATGTTTACGTGCAGAGTGTTCCAAATAAAAATTTAGTTTTGTATTAAATCTGTTTTTTAACCTCTTTCAGACTATGGTATATTCTTCAATTATGCTGGCGAAAGGGTATTTGAGAGTGTGTAGTCAAAGGAAGGGGTCATAATATCTCGATCTATACGCTACTGAAAGCGTGAAAAGAGATTAAAAGATTTAGAGCAGAATAGGTACTTAGGATATTCCAAGGAGTATTAATCGGATCCACTTTACATACCCTCCACAATACTCTAACCTCATCTAATATTGTTATCCTAATACTGTCCTCATATACTTCTATGAAAAAATCTTATTATTCATCCCTCTTTTTGATTATCTGTACAAATCTGTATCACGAAAATTCGATTTCCAATATAATATTAAAGTGAAATTTACTGCCGGCTCTTTAAATCAATAGGCGAAGATGTCATCTGTATTTTGGGGCCAAGTTTTTAAATTTTTGAACTTTTATGCCTCATAAATGTTAGAGTTCGAAATATTAGAACATCGTGAAATTCTTTTCGTTTTATAGAACGAAAGTTGCATATATATATTTATAGTATGCTGTTGATGTGAGGATGTTGGATTTAGTGTCTTTCTTTATAGAATTTGGGACAAGGTAAAAAAGAAAAACATTTAAGAAATTACCCACTTTCTGATTGAAGTTCTTTACCTTGAAAACAAGAAAAAGCGTTAACTTCGACTGCACCGAAGCTATAATACCTTTCACATATACAAAAATTCTCTACATGAACTTTGATTGGTCAGGTTGTATGGCAGCTACAAACATGCTATAATGACTCGACATGGCTAAATCGTATATACTTTATAGGGTTCCCTTCTGGGTGTTACAAGTTTTGTAGCAAACTTAATATACCCTGTTCAGTGTATAAAAAACCAC